ACCTTTATCGTGCAAAGACTGGGGAGACGCTGGTCCTCGCACAAGGATGGAGATTCAATACGGAAAACAACGACGCTATCGCCTTTCTCCGCTTCATCGGCGCAGCCGTAAGTCACAATCCTCAGTTGTAACGCACACAAATACGCACAGACAAGCACAAGCACAGACACACACACAGTATCGTGCTCATCTCCGAACATGCAACTATGCAGCTTGCGTCGGACGATAGGGAGCAGCGCACAAAGTCGCAGCAGCTGGTGGAAGAGTTTCAGGATGTGTGCCCGCGACGGGAGCCAGCGGAGGACGCAGCAGCCCCATCAGACCCACTGCTCGCTTGGGTTCCTGACGTGGACCTCTACAAGAAGAAGCTAGACCAGAACTGCTTTGACCAAGGTTCTGCGTGTGTGTGTGTGTGTGTGTGTGTGTGTGTGTGTGTGTGTGTGTGTGTGTGTGTGTGTGTGTGTGTGTGTGTGTGTGTGTGTGTGTGTGTGTGTGTGCCTGTAATTGCGGTCGTGGATGTGCGACCTTTCATAGTCGATGATTTTGTTTTCCGCCTGCTCAACGCCTTGCCAATGCCATGCCCACGTTCCTTGCACACCTCGGATAGGCTTCTTCCCTGCTGCCAGCAAGTTTAATCACTCATGCACCCCCAACGCGGAAGGCATGTGCCTCACCGCTCATGACGGCGTTGTAAGTCCACTGCAATGTCCATGTGGCGCATGAACACTTGTTTGGCTGCATGCCAGTCGCCAACATGGCATCCTCACCGTGTGCGTTCTCCGTCACGTGGCATGTTTCACTTGCTGACTGGCTGGCTGCCTTGTTTAGAACTTCTTCGAGGTTAAGGCAACGCGGCCGATTGCTGCCGGAGAGGAGGTGTGCATCTCATACTTGGGGGTGCCACAGATCATGCTGCCTGCAGACCAACGCCGTGCTCTCCTTCGCACCAACTACGAGTGCGTCCTCCCTCTGTGTGTGTGTGTGTGTGTGTGTGTGTGTGTGTGTGCGGGTGGGTGGAACGGGTATCTTGTTCCTGCAAGTGCGGCACGCAAACAGACACAGGCAGCATCAGGCACACATCATTCTTATGCTGTGTTATTCCATGCTCTCTTGCTCGCCAAATGTCCTTCCTTAACCCGCTTCCTTACCTGCTCTGCCCCTCAGATTCACGTGCGCGTGTGCACGATGCACTGATGAGGACAACGGCACCATCAACGCCACATCCGTCTGCAACTCGCTTACAAAACTCAGCCCGTGCTGCGGTGCAGACTTGGCCGCCATGCAGAACTGGTGCGGCAGCCATCGTTGTTGTTGTTGTACTCGTTGTTGTTGTACTCGTTGTTGTTGTTGTTGTTGTTGTTGTTGTTGTTGTTGTTGTTGTTGTTGAAGTTGTTGTTGTTGTTGTTGTTGTTTGTTGAAGTTGTTGTTGTTGTTTGTTGGTTGTTGTTGTTGTTGTTGATTGTTGGTTGTTGGTTGTTGGTTGTTGTTGTAACAAGCCGCTTGTTGCCCACCGCTGCTGTTGGTTGCTGTTGTAAGAAGTTGTTGGTGAAAGAAGATGTTGTTGTTGATGCTGCTGCCTGCTGCTGCTGTTGCAGCTGGTGTTGTGTGTTGGTGTTGTTGTTGTTTTTGT